TTGGACCCCAAAACCATCCTACTCAGGGTTGGACTGAATGGTCGAACTGTTTGAGCTGAGAACCAATGGCCAAAATGGCCCCATTTCTGGTGCAGTTTTCAAAAACACGAAAAAAATAACATGGGTATTTTCCCATTGACCAACATTCCCTCTGATGCAGCGTGGAAGCAATGAGAACCGGGGTTGGCTATGCAAGCATCGGGCGTTTGCTAGCACCTAGCAAAAAACACCGATTTCTCTAGGAGAGAGAAAAGGTGGCGAAAATAGGAAGAAGAGAACTTGAAGAAATTCTGAAAATCTGAAGTATGAATTGATGAATAACTTTGGGAAAATAACAGTATTTATAATACACTTGGGAATTGTAAAAGAACTAGGAAAGAACATGAGTCTTGATCTTGATCTTGATCCTCTTGGGCTGTCTTGATAAGGTCGAACCCTCTTGGAATTCTTGGGCTTGATCTTCCACCGTCCGATCTCCCTGGCTCTCCTTATGCATGAATCTGGGAGTCTTAGATTTCTTGATGCTTCTTAGAGTCTTTGTTGGATCTTGATTGGAGTCTTGAATTCTTGCTAATCTTGGAAGAGTCTTGATAATCTTGGATTCTTGATAAGTCTTGGAGTCTTGGAAGAGTCTTAATGGATCTTGAATTATCCTATTATCCTTTCTTGACTTATCTTGGACTCTTGACCTTATCCTAGGAGTTGCCGCCCCTAGGGGTGAGATGGGCCTTGGGATGGGCCTCCGTCACCCTCTCTCAAAATCGAATAAGCAAATGGACCCTAAGAGAGAAGTTATTGGACTGGATTTGGCTATAATTAACACAAGGCCTAAATAAATGAATATTGATTTCCAAAATCAAGGACGGTGAGTGAAAAAAGACTACAAATTAGAGAGTATCAATAATGAACGTTTTGGGCCCCATTTGCGGTCCATAACCGTTTATTGCTTTTAGGGATGGCAGTTTTTCCCATCCCCAGCGGGGACCTGACTTCCCCAACCCGATGGGAGAAGGGATGGAGATTGATGCCCATGCCCCGCCCCGACCCCGATTATATATATATATAATATTAAATATATATTATTATATTATTTATATTATATATATAAACATATTTAAAAAATTATTTATAATTTAAAATTTTTATTTATTTTAAATAAAATTCTATTTTAAAAAAAATATTGTATCTAACAAAATTTTGAGGACTCGGGTCCCTCCAAGGAATCCATCCCTATCAGGAATCGGGGATGGAGGACAAATTTTATCTTCGGTGGGGATCGGGGACGGGGGTGGGAGTTAATTTTATAATCAAGGTCAAGGATAGAGAATATGATGCCCACCCCGTTGCCATTCCTAATTGCATTGGCTATAAAGCCATATTTAGGGTTTGAATCACTAAGATTTATGATTAATGATAAGATAGATACTAGAGTGTCAATTGAACTGAATTTGGTTCAATTCGATCCATTCCAATGTGAATTCATTATAAATGGATCAGGCCCAATCCAATCTGATATATATTTTGGACTGGATTGGTCCAATCCATTATATCTTATTGATCCGTCCAATCCGTTCAAATTAATTTTAGAATGGACATGGTCCAATCGAAAACCGGTCCATTGACACCAAGATACAATTTTCATTTAAACTTGATACGTGCCCATATCCTGTTTTTGTAAGATTTATTGAAACAGCAACTTAGGACCACATGAAGTCGAGCAGAATGTCCCAGGACCAGACCCATAACCGGTACGGTCTAATCCATACCCAAATATACATCAGAACGGGGTCCAGACGCCTGGTCGACGCGTTAAGCGCAGCCCGAGAATCACATGGATAGTGTCTGTACTCGGTACTGGTTGTACTAGAAAACTCACAACTGTCAACTATCGTGCAAAATGCCAAGGGTGAAGGATATATAGGTTGGACTGAACCGACCCAATGAGCCCGAAAGGCAGGAACCGAATCCATGGGTCCTGGGCCTCCTGTTGCTAAACTGGACCAATCAGCCCTAAATCAAGGAAATGGACCAACTAGGACTAAGAAACTAGAGGAGCTACTCGAACCCCATAAACTTGATCATTTGATTCATGTGTGAAATGGGCCATCGTTTCGGGTTCATGGATCCGATATTAGGATCCGAATGAGAACATTGAAAAAAAATTAGGGAAAGGCTTTGATTCCCTCGTAACTTTTCTTACCCAAGTTGAGAAAAGGGGGAATTGGGCAAAAGGGATGTCGTTTTCGTGGTTATCACCAATCATTTGGATTCGGGTAATGCTTTAGTGGGGAGTGATATGGTGGGTCCCTTGGCGTGCGATCAACGAGGTGATAGCTTAGACTTTGGATACAGACAGAGAGAGAGAGAGAGAGGTGTGAAGCTTGGTCTTAGCTTTGTCTCTGCATCAAAAGCACCACCCTTTAGGCCATTTTCCCAGTATTCCTCCTCATATTACTCAAAGAATATGGAAATCTCTGCAGTACTTAGTAGAAGAAAACACAGAAAAAGCAGTCCACTCACCAAGACGGCTATTGCTTCCTTCTTTCCCGCTACGTTCACATTTAAATTAGAAAGAATGCAATTAAATAATCAACCCATCTGTTTGATCAAATGCACTGTGATGTAGAAGGGCCCAGTGATCGGATGATCTAAATTATCCAATTGGGCTAGCCTTTTTGACCAAAGAGATGGAGTGGGAGTCCTTGAGGGGTGGGGTGGGTGTCTCCAATAATGGGCCTTTTCTTTATTCATGCGTGTGGGGAAAGTGTACTGATAATGCCCTATAATCTATCTTTATCATGAGCTTAACACCTTTGATGCATTACTAGTGTGTTTTAAGACCTTTAAGGAATTCTGATTACTGAGCATCTGATTGGGATATCAAAAACCCTGATGAACTAAAAAACTAGTTGGCCATTCGCGTCGATCGAGTGATTAGGATTGGTGCAATTTTCAGAAATCTAGGACTAATTGAATGGCCAAGACTGGAGAGGGGTGTTGAGGTATATCAGTGGATTGTGCTACATAGAACACTATAGGTTTCCTCATTGTAAGAATGGTAAACCCAACACCCTAGAGGGTTTGCTTATATTGGATGGAGTGATTGGATTCTCTTCTTTTTTTAGTGCTCTCTCTCTCTCTCTCTCTTAGTTCTCATCACAATTGAAAGTTGGGATAGTGATGATAATCTGCTCAAGTGGGAAGTGCACCAGAGTGATCATAGGCTCTGGTCTCCTCTTCTTCTGCTAGCTTAGATTAATCAATCTTTTACTGATAAAAAGGGAGAAAAAGCAGTTCAAATAATGCTCCCCTTATGATTGATTGATATGAACACGATATGGGTCATCAATCAGAATTGTGTTTCAAGCTTACCCTTCCTTAATCAGTCAACCCTGAAATTTCTACGTGGGTCTCAATAAAATGCTTTTTTTCCCTCGAGCTCTCAACCTAATGGGTCCCAAAATAATACATTATTGAACCCCCTGGATATGTATGTAGGGGTTCACATGGGTTCCTAATCCTGTATTTTTTTTTTTTATTTGAACTCTAGTTTTGAAAATTGAGTCATGCCCACAAATCCGGTTCATACAATTAGTCTTGTTATAATGAATGGTCCACCCATTTTCATTCCCTCGTAGGTTCCCAAACCCCAATTTGTGGGTACCTAATCAGCCAATGTGAATTGTTCTGATTCAGGGATTCAGATTTTGATCTCGAATTTGATTCATTTTATGCAATTTGGTCTCATCCATTTGCATCCCTATATATTGGTATTATTAACGACACAAACCAGTTCAAACCACTAATGTCATCACTCATCATATTGGTTGGTTTAGTATAGACTATAGAGCTTACTCTTTACATAATTTGGTCTTCTAATGGCAATACAGAGATTACTCTTTACATATTTGAATTGCACATCATCACAGTAGTAAGGGCAACAGGGTTTGATGGGTCAGCTATGAAACCACCTACTTCTTCGCTGAACCTACAGATAGACACCCTACTCAACCCTCCAGCGTTGTGGTTGGACACAATTCTGATATTTGGCAATCAAATCAGGAAATGGCCAACAGATTGGAATTCCACTGATGCGCCATTAGACTGCTATGTTGTAGGGCAAATCTAGCTTCATTAGAGTTTAAATGCTTATCTTTTGAAACTTCTTGTCAAAAATCAAAATGGAAAATCTGCTTTAACTTTGGTGAGTTACTTAAAGGATGATCTTTCTTATACTGTAACTTTATTACAATTTGGTAAAAACATAATTACAAACAGAAAGAACAAAGTTGATCTTCACAGTACTTTTACTGTAAAGGTTGGACCCGACCCATCAGGGCTTAGACAAAAAGGATTCCAAACACTGAAGTGGGCTGAGGTATTGAAGCCCCAGCTTACTCTACATGGGAAGAAAAAGGAAAAGAGAGGGGACCCAACCAATGTTGGCATCATCACCTCCAATGCCATTAACCACAGAGGTCATTGATTTTGTTTCCTTGTGGTGGGCCATGGATTTCCTTTCAGAGTGTGCAAAATAACAACCCAAACAGCATTTGAACAGAGCTATCGATTTCCCCTACAAATTTCAGCACAGGGACCCCACCTGCACTGCTACTTCTCTTTGCTTTTCCTATGTACTAATGTTCATTAGAATATCCAAAACAGCAACTCGGAGAAAATATATTACATGGCAAGGCCTACAATATTACCCTGTACTCATGGCCCACAACCCTTTCAGATCATCACAGTGAATATATATATCAACGACCCATATACTTCAGTTCAGAGGTGCATCACATACAGTGCAGCCAATTGCATCACACTTCATGTTTGAGAACTTCTACCATAAACATGTTCACGCTTGCTGACAGACAATGACCCTTCGATCAAACCCATCTTGTTCTCAATCATCGATAGACCATGTGGGGTCCATATCTTTGACCAAAAGTCAAAATATGACCTTTTCTCTACCTGTGTTGTCTGCACTCTTTAGTAATCAAACCGTGTAAGTACCCAACAACCAACCTAGTCCATTCCTCTCTTTTATTATTCCTCTCCACGTTCCCTCCTTTCCAACTATAAAAAATAACTACTTTCTCTAAAGCTTTCCTTCTGCTTTGCAAGAAGAATTCTCATTATACTAGGCACTCTCTCGGGTTCCCCTCACTTCACTCCCTGCAAGTCTTGTCTCTCTAATGGAGAAATTTCAGCATCTCCTCCATGCTTCACTGACACTACTGTTTATAATGTTTCCTTCTTTGTTCATGTCGGTATCTTCTGTTGATAATGGTAGTTTTTCGATGATCAAATCAGATGGGGAGGCTCTCATCTTGTTCAAGAAGATGATTCAGAATGACCCGAATGGAGTTCTGTCAGGGTGGCAGCTTGATAGAAATCCTTGCTCTTGGCATGGAGTCTCTTGCTCTCTAGGTAGAGTGACCAAACTTGATCTTAGCTTCTGTAATCTTGTTGGAGCTCTCTCATTCTACCCATTGGCTTCTCTCGACATGCTATCGGTTCTTAATCTCTCCACCAATTCATTTACTGTAAATTCTTCTACCTCTTTGCTTCAATTACCACTTGGAATAAAACAGCTTGATCTATCTTCTAGTGGACTTGCTGGCCTAATTCCTGATGGGTTCATCTCCAAATATCCGAATCTTCTTAACGTAAATCTTGCTCACAACAACCTAACAGATTTTATACCTGACAATCTCTTGGTGGGTTCTCATAATTTGCAGGTTCTAGACCTCTCTGTGAACAATCTAACAGGATCAATTGCAGGTCTAAAGCTTGACAATTCCTGCAATGGCTTGTTGCATCTTGATTTCTCAGAAAACCAACTTATGGGTACCATTCCTTCTTCCTTATCCAGTTGCACAAACATCAAGAACTTAAATTTATCTTTCAATCTATTTTCTGGAGATATACCAACATCTTTTGGATTGCTCAGAAATCTACAGAGGTTAGATATCTCTCATAATCATCTTACGGGTTCTATCCCATCTGAGTTAGGCAGCACTTGTGTTTCACTTCTTCAACTTGAGATTTCCAATAATAACATCTCAGGTTCAATTCCCACATCCTTCTCTACATGTTCTTGGCTTCAAATACTTTCCATGGCCAACAACAACCTTTCAGGTCCCTTTCCTGATTCTGTACTTCAGAACCTTGGTTCATTGGATAGCTTGTTATTAAGCAATAACTTCATATCTGGAAACCTTCCTGCTTCCATCTCATCTTGTAGCAAATTGCGAATTTTGGATTTTAGTTCCAATAAACTATCTGGTTTCATCCCTCCGGATATATGTCCAGGCGCTGCCTCACTTGAAGAGTTGAGGCTTCCTGATAATCTCATTGCAGGTGAAATTCCGGCCCGATTGTCGCAGTGTAAGAAGCTCAAGACAATTGATCTTAGCATAAACTATCTCCGTGGTCCAATTCCTAAGGAGCTTGGACAGCTAGAGAATCTAGAGCAACTGATGGCCTGGTTCAATGGTTTGGATGGGAAAATTCCAGAAGAATTGGGCCATTGCCGGAACCTAAGGAGTCTCATTCTCAACAATAATTTCCTTACTGGTGAAATCCCTGTGGAGCTATTCCATTGCAGTAATCTTGAATGGGTTTCACTCACTAGTAATGGCATCACTGGCCACATTCCACGAGAATTCGGCCTATTGCCAAGGTTGGCTGTTCTTCAACTTGCTAACAATAGCCTGAGTGGTCCAATACCCAGACAGTTGGCAAATTGCAGCAGCTTGGTTTGGCTAGATTTGAACAGTAACAGGCTCACAGGGGAGATCCCTCCGAGGCTCGGCAGGCAGCTGGGAGCCAAGTCGTTGAGCGGAATTCTTTCAGGCAACACACTGGCATTTGTACGCAATGTGGGGAATTCATGTAAAGGAGTTGGAGGTTTGTTGGAATTTGCAGGAATTCGACCAGAGAGGCTTCTGCAGGTCCCAACCTTGAAGACATGCGACTTCACAAGGTTGTATTCAGGTGCTGTCTTGAGTCTTTGGACGCATTACCAGACATTGGAGTATCTTGATCTTTCTTACAATGAGCTTCAGGGGAAAATCCCAGAAGAATTTGGTGACATGGTGGCCCTACAAGTGCTGGATGTAGCCCATAACAAGCTCACAGGAGAGATTCCTGCGTCCCTTGGCCAGCTCCGTGATTTGGGTGTGTTTGAGGCATCTCATAACAGGTTGCATGGGCAGATCCCAGAATCATTTTCAAATCTCTCATTCTTGGTACAAATTGATCTTTCTGATAACGAATTAACTGGGCCAATTCCTTCGAGGGGGCAGCTCAGTACTCTCCCTGCAAGCCAGTATGCAAACAACCCAGGACTCTGTGGGGTCCCACTGCCTCCATGCCAAAATGAAAACAGTCTACCAGCGACAAGTCCGTCTGTTGTTGATGGGAAAGGACGCCGACGACCTCAGGCTACATCATGGGCTAATAGCATTGTTCTGGGTGTTCTTGTTTCCATGGCTTCTATCTGTATTCTGATAGTCTGGGCTATTGCAATGCGTGCAAGGCGGAAGGAGGCAGAGGAGGTTAAGATGCTTAGCAGCTTGCAAGCCTCCCATGCAGCCACAACTTGGAAGATTGGCAAGGAGAAGGAACCATTGAGCATAAATGTGGCTACGTTTCAGAGGCAGCTGAGAAAGCTCAAATTCTCACAACTCATTGAGGCCACCAATGGCTTCTCAGCGGCAAGCCTGATTGGGTGTGGTGGGTTCGGAGAAGTGTTCAAGGCCACTTTGAAGGATGGTTCAAGTGTTGCAATTAAGAAGCTCATACGCCTGAGTTGCCAAGGAGATCGAGAGTTCATGGCTGAGATGGAAACTCTAGGAAAAATTAAGCACAAGAACCTTGTTCCCTTATTGGGCTATTGCAAGGTGGGTGAGGAGAGGCTCCTAGTCTATGAATTCATGGAGTTCGGCAGCCTTGAAGACATGCTTCATGGGAGAATCAAGGCACGAGAAGGACGGATATTGAGCTGGGAAGAGAGGAAAAAGATAGCAAGAGGTGCGGCAAAAGGACTTTGTTTTCTGCATCACAATTGCATCCCTCACATCATACACAGAGACATGAAGTCCAGCAACGTACTCTTGGATCATGAGATGGAAGCCAGGGTCTCAGACTTCGGCATGGCGAGGCTCATAAGCGCTCTGGACACCCACCTGAGCGTGAGCACACTTGCGGGCACACCTGGGTATGTCCCACCAGAGTACTACCAGAGCTTCCGCTGCACTGCCAAGGGCGACGTCTATTCACTTGGAGTCGTGCTCTTGGAGCTCTTGACAGGGAAGAGGCCGACTGATAAGGAGGATTTCGGAGATACCAATTTGGTGGGGTGGGTGAAGATGAGGGTGAGGGAAGGAAAGGGGAAGGAAGTGATCGACCCAGAGCTGCTTTCAGCAGCCATCAAGGGAGGTGAAGACCATCAACGAGAGGAGGTTAAAGAGATGACGAGGTACTTGGAGATAACGATGCAGTGCGTCGAAGACTTCCCTTCCAAGAGGCCCAACATGTTGCAGGTGGTGACTATGTTGAGGGAGCTGATCCCGGGAGCTGCCACAGGAAACAACAGTGGTTGAACCAAAGCTGCTTTTTGATTCTGTTTATTCCTGCAAATTTTAGTTGTAAAATTGTTTGTTAAGCTATTAGCGTCGCGAGTACTGTAAACATGTGGCTGGCTATTTCTTCTTGTTCTTGATGTCACAGTCTAGTGCGTGCATGAATACTTGTTGGGTGGTTTAAGAGAGGCCGCTGTCCTTAGTGGAAGCAATGGTCGGGTGATCGATCGACAGCACATATAATCATGAAGCACGTTAGTTGTAAATAGATGAGTAACTGAGTATTCTAAATTTCTAATAAGCATTTATTCAAATAGATGGTCTACATTCCAGTACTGAGGGTAAAGGTGATCTAATAATCATTATTCACGAGAAAGTGCTCGTGGTTATGTGACAAAAGGCATGAGACACGCCGGTGATTGTCTCGCACCGAACAGAAAGAAACCTATAAAAGAAGGCATAGATTTTTCCAAGGGAAGGATGCAATGGTGTCAAACTTTATGATGCCAGATCTACGGTAAGAGTCAATACTTTAGCATATGATGTTGGAGTGAATGAGAGAAAGGAATGTTTGAAAAGCCAGATGGTCCAGCAAACCAGAATGTCATAGTTGGATTTGACATAATTAGAGCATGGTCTGGTCCCACACAAATGATTATTTATGTTTGCTGTGATCCGTGATCCGTGATCCGTGATCATCATCACCATGTTCTGCAACCTCCAATAGAACGAGATCTGGCCACAATTATAACTTTATAAGAGATGTTTATAGTAAGGAGGGTGATGCACGGATTAGTTTAAAATAAAAAAACAAAAGTTTGGGGAATTTGTGTTTTGCTTTTCTTCATAAGTTTTTATTGGTTTTTTCGATATTATTTAGTCTTTTTGTACATTCCTCTAGAGGTGCAAGTGGATCGTATTCTGATCCGGTCCTATTTGCATGAATTCGAATCACCTTGTTCGGATTTTTGGATCGGATCGAATCCATCACCTTTAGATGATTCGATTCGATATATATTATATATTTATAAAATATGTATAATATATATATATATGTTATTTATAAATATATTTTTTATATTATATTTTTATAAATTTATTATATTATTTATTTTTTATAAAAAGTATGTATATATGTAATTAAAAAATAATTAAAAAATACTTGTATTTTTTGTTTTTACTTTATTTATATTAATATATTTTATTTTTCTTTTAATAATTTATTAATTTTTAAAGAAAACAAGTCAGATCGGATCATATCCGAAGATTCAACTTACCAATAGGATTCGAATTCAAATTAGATCCGATTGGATCTTCGAATCAAATCAGATCCAACATAAAAAGTGTCGAATCAAATTCAAATATACCCTGATTCGAATCCAATCCGATCCGATCCATTTGCAAATCTAATTCCCTCACATATTACTCAAGTGTACAAACTTATAAAAGTTTATGAGATGAATCTATAAAAACCCAAATGTTCTAACGTCTACTTAGATTTAGTTTTCCTAATGGAAAATGATAATAAATTTTGTCGACAAGTTTAAGTATCTAATATTCTCGGAGCTCTGCCCATTAATGAGAGAATTTTATTTATTTATTCATTTATATAACTCTTTTCAAGGGCTACACAAAGGGGTAGCCCATCCCCCAACCTAAGTACAAGCGGGATTCAATCATAAGCATCCACTAGGATCAAGGTTTAAAATTTCGGTACGATATGTCCGATACGGGGCATATCGTATTGTATCTTTGAAATATAGATACTGGATACCCATGAAAATCAAGCATTTCATCTTTTTTTATGCGTATTGGACCCATATCGAGGGTATACCAGGGCGTATCAAGGGTGTATTGGGGCGTATTGGGGGTGTATCGAGGCGTATCGGTAGCGTACTAACAAAAAGTATACGACCAAAAACTAACAAAAAGTTAAAGGGGGGAAAGCAAGCTTCTTTTCCCCAAAATAAGCCTTCTTTCACCCCCAAATGACTCTAAAACTCCAAACTTCATTCCTGGAGTGCTAGACTTGCAAAAGTTTGTAAGAAACAAGTGTGAATCGTTAATTTTTTTAAGATTTTTCAAATTTTGAAAAAATATGGCAAAAATAGGACCGCGGGCTTAAACTCTAGTGTTGGACTTGCATTTGGCACCCAACTTTTTCAAGTGCTTATTTTTTTTATTGGGTATAAGCATTTATTTTATATTGGGTGTTTGGTAGTCTTTATCTCTAATAAGCACTTAAATAAGCATTTGTGACTATTTTGTCCTTCATTTTCTTTCAAATTTTCAAAATATACCCTTTGAAAGCACTTTTATAAAGTACTTTTACGAAAGCACTTTTAAGAAAGTATCCTTACAAAAGCACTTTCACAAAATAGCATATAAGTACATTCATAAAAGTGCTTTAATAAAAGTACTTTCATAAAAGTACCTTTACAAAATTCAACTAGGGATAATATTATGAGTGGTATTTTAAAATTCAACTAGGGATAATTTTGGAAAAAAAATTGAACAAGTGCTTATTGTATAAGCACTTAAAAAAAAGCTAGAAATTTGGACTGAAAAAATAAGCTCTTACTTTTAAAATAAGCAATTATTTTGGGCTTATTTCCCAAATACCAGTAAGTGCTTAATGGCCCAAATAAGCACTTATTTTGAATAAGCATTTATTTTTAAGTAATCCCAAATATAGCCATAGCCTATTACACATGACTGTTTGCAGTAGATTTAGAGTGATGGTAGGGAATCTGGGATTATATGCACTCATGCACTTAATGGCAATGTGTTAGGGGTTGTGTAAGCAATGATAATACTCCACATCAGCTATGCACGTGAAACAGGATATTGAAATAGGGAAAAAGTTTGGTTGTTGGGGGGCCCACAGCCTATACTGTTAAAAACATTCTTGGAAATGCTACGTTACCACGAGAGTGGGATAAAATTGTAATTGCCCTTATTTTCTTTTGACCGAAAAAGATAGACATAGGCGTGAATGGGTGAATGTTCAGCCCAAAAAGGCTCTCAACAACATAAGTTGTTGTCCCCCAACAACCAAAGTTATCCCATTTGTATCCCTAAGGCGCTATATTTTGGTTCGATAGAAAAGAAGAGAAACAGAAAGTTGAAGGAAAGTTCCTTTGTATATTTTGTAAAATTTGTTAGAAGAACAATTTCTCTCCTTTTCTCTCTCTCTCTTATTTTTCTATCAAACCAAAATCAACCTAAATGCACATATTGTAAGAAGAGCAGAAGACAATTACTTTTGCCAAACTTTGCTATATAGCTAGCGTTGATGCTCGGGATGGGCCGAGGATAATATAGTAATTTTGCCCCTAAATCGAGGTGTCCGATATCCGGGGCGACTGAGGTACCCGAGGTCCGGAGTAGGCGTGGTGTGCGGAGATCGAGGACTAGCAAACTGGTCCTACAAGGAGGAGAATGTCAGAGCCCTCGGGTGAAAAACCGAGGCGGAGACTCCAACGGTTAAGTTAGTATTAGGAGGGGTAAAAGGTGAATGAGGCCTGGGAGGTGAGCGCATAAACGATGCCACAAGAATTCTCAGGTATTAGCTAGAGTCTTAGTTCTGATCCCTTACCTTGAAGGGGTCACCTCCTATTTATACTTGAGGGCGCCTGGAGGTAAGTGAGCTCGGACGGTCTGGATGGGGTTCATACACGGGGAGCATGGCCATCCGAGGCTGCCAGGTGACTCAAATGGAAGATGTCATGTTAAGCGAAGGAGAAATATTAGAGAGCATTGTCGTGCCTCGATAGAGGTTAGCATCAAAAAAGGGAGTACTATCGTCCTTGCACAAGATAGTGGTGGCAGCAGGAGTGTGAAGAGGTTTGGCACCCTCCATCTTTGTTTTGGAGAGAAGATTAAAAAAGCACTTCCATTGAGACAAGAACAATCCATTGGAAGTACGAGCAACCTTTATACCAAGGAGATGGCTGAGCGACCCAAGGTCCTTAACTACAAAGTGTAGACCCATATTTGTGATTAGATGTTGGACAACAAGTGTTAGACTAGGAGTGAAATCCAATGGATAAAAGGTAGGAGCTCAGTTTATGAAACCATGAGCGAGGTGCTTGCTTTAAACTGTAGAGTGATTTCTTTAAGAGACAAACATGACTGGGGTGATCTTTCCCAACAAAGCCAGTGGGGTGATCACCATGTAGAAACTCATTTTAGACATCCAATTGATATAACCAGGCCAACCTCGAGCAACAAGTGCAAGAAAAATTCAAACAGTGGTAATCAATACCCTCTTGTTGGTTGTAGACCGTGGCAACTAGGAAGGCTTTGAACCAATCAATGGTGGCATCCGCTTTACTCTTGATTTGAAAGACCCATTTGCATGCAATAATGTGGGAAGTAGGAGGTCTTGGAGTGAGAACCCAAGTAGCGTATGTTACGTAAGAGAGCATTGAGCTAATTATTCATAACAAAATAGCAATGGGGATCAACAAGAGCTTAAGTAATGATACACAACCCGAAAGAAGTTGGAGGTAGAGGATGCTTTGTAGAGATGTGAGCAACACAATTCAACCAAACACTTTTAAGGATCTAGCTTCCATCTAGGTTTAATTTGGATCTAGTAATCATGCTATCTATGATTGTTGCCTGGAGCTAATTTTGGAAGAGAATTGTCAATGAAGGAAGGGCAACAAGAGAGATATCAGCAGTCAATGGGGTTTCAAATGGAGTAACAATGGGAGGTAGCAAAGGAGATATTGATGATTAAGGAACAACAATTGGTGGTGCGTCAAGAGGAGAGAGTGGTGGTGAAGCTGGTAGAGGAATGAGAATTAATTAAAGATGGAGGAGAAACAATACAAGGGAATAATTAATTGTTCATTGAACAATACATCTCTAGAATAATATAAATGTGACCTGTGGTACGATCATAATACTTGTAGCATTTCTGATTTCAACTATGCCCAATGAACACACATGATGTAGATCGAAAATCCAACTTGTGTTTGGCATAAGGTTAGAGATGAGGAAAACATTCATGGCCAAAGAGCTTGAGAAGCATGTAATCTGGTTTCTTACCATAAAGAAACTCAAGTGGAGATTTCCAGTTCGGAACCTTGCATGGAAGCCAATTAGAAATCATGAAGACAATACCCTTTTGAGCCTGGGTATTAAGGCAACTGAATTGATGATGAATTCCCTCACCTTTCAAGTATGATTCAAAGTGTTTGAATTCTGTGGCATGGTGAGATGGTAAAGCAAGCGATTTGCAATTGAGTTGTTATTGAACCATGAAAACGTTTAACGCATTAGATTTCTTCTTTAAAGGATAAATCCATGCAATGGTTTATTAAGAAAACAACTTTGTGATAGAAATGAGAGGTGATGACCTTTTCTAAGTGGACAGGTAGAACAAAAACTAATAAATTTAGAACTAGAAGAAATTCCATACAGCAACCATGGACCATGGTACTTGTTATATAAAAGGAAAATGATACTAAAATAGAAAAACAAGACATATGCATAACAATTTCACCCAAATTTATTTTGGTAACTTCCAGGATTTTTATTGTTATCTCCATAGCTTTATAATAAATACCATAGACAAATTATCAACTTGAAAACACTATGGTGGTGTTTGGCTCCATACTTTCATTAATGTTTTCTGAGAAATTAAACAGTGCCACATCGGTCAATAATTCACCTTCAAATGTTTGAATCTATTATTTGGTTAGCTGTTTTCTTAGAACATGGAAAAAACACACACAACATAAAAATGAAATCACATCAATTCACTAAATTCAAGAAAACTGGCAGGTGCCATTTTTTTGTGTTGTTTTTCTTTCTCTAATGTTGCAAGGCATGGTCGCTGATGTGCCACTATTTTCTTAGATAATGACAATGGAGCCAAACACCTTTAAACACTAGTTTTCTAGAAAACACCAGACCGTTGCATTGTCATTTGAAAAAACACAAATGGTGGCATTTGTCTTCTTCTCTCATAACATATTAAAACTTTTTCTCCTAGAGATGCAAGAACAAAACAACCAAAATTTAAAATCCACTCATCATGAATGCACATACCTTTTTAGTTATCTATGGTTTAGATGATTCTTGTAGTAATTAAAAGTATTGAAAAAGAAAAACTTCCAACTAGAAGTAAACCAAACGAAAGGAAAATGAGCAAAGGGCATACAAATATCCATAAAACCCTAAGAATTATTTATTCTCCTTGAATTGGTGGAGGGGTGTTATTTGTTGGCTTCGCCTCTCTCTCTTAGTTGGGCCCTAGTTTGGTTCTTGAGTTGGTGGAGATGTATTTTGAGCCCATTCCTGTATTTTCTTTTTTTTTTCTTTTCTTTTTCTTTTTAATATATTTTCCATTTTACTACAAAAAAAATTATTTATACTTCTTACTTTTGCCTATAAAGAAAATATTAAATCAAATATCATGCTATTATCACCATTTAAGCCTTGTCCTAACTAGGAGTGCAATTTGGGTAGGGTTGGATTGAGAATTTGTTAAATTTTCAATGACTGAATCCTGGACCAAAGCTCAATATACTTTAGTTTTGTTATTCCGAACCAAAAAACTCTGGTCAAATCATGGACCGGGGTGCAGGAAGGCACAATTCAATATTTGTTCTGAAAGCATATCTTTGGGGGAAAATTATAGATAGGTACACTGTACTTTGGGATAGTGTGACAACCAAGTATCCTGAACTTTCAAAAATCAACACTGAAGTTGTTGAGCTGACAACCAAGTCCAACACTAGGGGTGTTCACGGGTCGGGTTGGGTCGGTTTCATGGGATTTTCCCAACCGACCCGACCTAGTCAGGTTACCAGAAGTGGGAACCGAAGCCGACCTACTGATAGGCCAAATCAACTTGGTCGGTTTGAGTCGGGTTGGGTCGGTTTGGGTTGGTTTCGGTTTTGCTCCTGTACAAAGCCGAATAAACTCTGAATTAGTTGAGGATTTGAGTTGAGGACTTGAGTTGAGGGGGGCGGACCAACCAAGTTAAGTTAGAGAATAGAAGATTTTAAAAGAAGACAAAAGTGGAATTAGAAGACTAGTAGGAAACTAGGAATTCTAATTGTAATTGCCTAATGGGCCTTCTAGTTCTAATAGGAATTCTAATTGTAATTGCCTAATCTAGGTAAAAAACTAAAAAGGACACCTAATTAATTGAATTCTAATTGTAATTGCCTAATCTAGGTAAAAAACTAAAAAATGACACCTAATTAATTGAATTCTAATTGTAATTGCCTAATCTAGGTAAAAAACTAAAAAATGACACCTAATTAATTCAATTCTAATTGTAATTGCCTAATGGGCCTTCTATTTCTAGTAGAAGTCTAGATGATTAGTATGAATTAGGAAACTACTCAAATTAGGAAGTAAGAACTACCAAACTAGTAGAAGAAAGACTAGTTCGGTTCGGGTTGGTTTCGGTTTTCACATCGGTTTTTTTATGTGCCCAACCCGAAACCGACCAATATGAATGAAAACCCGGCCGACTCGAGTTGGCTCGGTCTGGGTTGGTCGGTTTGGTTGGGTTGGGCATTCTTATGAACAGCCCTATCCAACACCATCAACCAACCTTACAATGAATGGTAAAATTACCAAAATACCCATTTTAAATTCCTTTTATGCAGTTCTGGTAATGGATTTGTTGAGCTGGTTTGGGAGAATGGTTAGATTCTGATGAAAGGTCAGTCTAGTAAAACTTGAAAAATCCCTCATGAAATAGTCTTATAAATAAAGGATAGTTTTGGGATAATTAATGGAGTGGATTTAGAGTTGATTTTTAAAAGTTTAGGGTAATTGGTTGTGACACTTGAAAGTTGAGGCCTCAAGTGTCATTATATAATTTTCCCTATCTTTTATTATTTATTTCTGAATTAAAAACAGTGAATATTTAGATGGAGTTCAGACTTTTTCTTTTTTTTTGAATATTTGATGATACAGGCACAACATTAATAAAGTGGTTTCTGGAATCCAATCCCGTGCGTATGCTGGAGCGAAGTGGCTAACATATATCAGTAACGAGTCTGGATCTGCTGCACATTTTGTCCCTGCAGATCTCCCTGTACATCATCAAATTAGAGAGGGTGCACCCTTTCATGCGTGAATTTCACATGTACAAGTGGGATTAACAAATGTTTCAAACGTCCTCCATTCCTCTTATCCCGTTTTTAATATATTGAAATTTAGATTAAATTTTAAAACAAATTAAAAATAGGGGTTAAGGGTTTCTTCTTCCTCTTAATTTGCGAGTACAAAAAAAAAAAATAACTAATTTGATGTTGTAAACTAGTTTGCGTGCTCTAGGATTAGGATTAAGATGTTGAATTGACAATAATGAAATTTGGTAGGGGCATCATCTTTTCACCACTTGGGCACACATGAATTTTCTTCTTCTCTATATTTGCCTTTTGTTTCATACTTAGTCTTTTGAACAACACAAATTGCAAAAACAAGATAAAGATGCTAGGCCTTCTTTTTCTCTAGTTCCTATTTGGACTACAGATTTTGTTAAAAATTTGTATTCTAGCTATCACCAGCCACTCCCAACTACTTTCTTTTCTGTGTTTTTTATCCCAATAATTTACCCATGTGATCTAAGGAGGTATTATTACTGTAGAACCATATTGATCTTTATAAAGAGAGTTTACAGAAGTCTAAAGCTCCTTTTGCATAAACTCCTGCTTTTGTGCTTCAGGCTGTTAAAAAAAAATTGAAACAAAAAGTGATTTGAGCATTTGTTAAGAGTTGTTTCTAAACCATTATAATCTGAAGTCACAACACTTTTAAAACCCTAAAAATGCAAAGCCTAAAATTGGGGTTTTATGCTTTTTGGAGCTTTAAAAACACAAATTTTGAAGTTTATCCAAACACAACCTACCTAAATTAATATTTAATAAAATAAGCTTGAAGCCTTAAACTTTGAAGTCACTCAAACTGATTAAATCTTCTTTTATTCATCCTTACACTCATAAATGCATTAGTACATGAAAGAATACAAAGAAAATACAAACAGAAACAAGATACAGGAGGAAGAACAAAAAAAAAAAAAAATCTATTGCTATGTATACAACAGTATTATTCTCAATTATCAGCCATGATCATCTATCGACAACACCACTACTGCCTTGGTCAATAGGCCTCATCATACAATAGCCTGCGGTTGCTGAAAATTGTGGAACTAACTACATGATGAAAGGCATTTCCAGCTTTTGCTGTTCAACATGTGAAAGCTTGGCTCTCTGGGAATTGTTGGTGGCCTCCTTGACCTGTAAGAGAGCAAACAAAATGAAAAACCCAATTAAGTAATTAACTCATTCATTGTACTTCTGAACCTGCTAGCATTACTCAAAGCTGGACCAAGTTGGCCCAACTCCAATCAAGTATGAAGTTTCTACTCTGGCAAGCCTTCCAAAGGTTTGGTCCAACCATTCGGTCACTGATCCAACTACATAACCACAACCCCAGAAGGGTTATCGGGTCATTGATCCAACCATTCTGTCTAGTCCAACTACATAACTATGGCAAAAGCGATATGTGGGGTCCCCTATCGATGGATGGTTTGTTTTAGGCTTTTAGCCACAAAATTTCTTCATATTGTAGAAAATAGGTGGGAACGCTCTAGGGGTTTTCTTTGATTGACCCAATTAATGTCCAAAATGGTCCCAACATTCAGCCTTGGGCTTATTAAGTCTTGGGATGCCCAGCCCACTTACATAGTTGGATTCAATGTCTAGATCCAATCCTGATCCTTTTAGCAGGCTGGGTTCAGTTACCCATGAGCAGAGCCCAATACTTTTAAACCTCTATTTATAGTCACATCATATTCCTCAATTGTGCAAATGGATCATTTATTAAAACACCCTTATAATTTGCAACTTAATCAATCTTCTATGACAAAATGGGTCATTTATTAATTTCATTGCGATGCCTCTTCTTTATCATTTTGTTAATGTGGTAAGAGAGTATGTCCACATTTTACCAGGGGTAAGAACAACATTTCCATTTTTATTTGCTTTTGATTAAATTTATTGCAAATTATATGGGGTGTTTTAATAAAACATAAAATATGAGATAGGTTTTGATAAATACGTGAAACTATAGAGGGCATTTTAATAAATGACCCATCAAAATAAGATACCTAGGGTTTTGAATATTTTAGGAAAAAAAAAAAGATTGGTGAAGTTAGATAGGTTCATTTTCTTTCCTTTTCAGTTAGTTTAGTGGATTTGTTAAGGTGTCACGTCACTAAAGGTTAATGTGTTACTACTGCACTGTACCTTTGTGGGAAGAAAGGCCTGTCAAAATATGGCATCAATTGGGCTTTTGGGATCATTTCCTTTCTCAACATCCGAATCTCTTCTTCTTCTATAATCTGATTCATTCATTTCAACGACTCCATGAGATTGAGTTCATGCACATTTCCATTTTGTATTCTGTGGGGAGCAATAGATATTCATCAGCATATCTTACCTTCTGCACCCTCTCTTCTAGTTGCTTCTGTATTTCTAATTTGGTCATCTTACATGCAACCTGTGAGTTTGACAGAAAACTTGATAAGGATTTTAGTACAGAGAGGGAATCATAAAATGATGAAAATATTTTCAATATCATATATGGAACCCAACAGTCTCTCTAACTACTTACAAAAAAATTGAATTCTGCTCGCTTGGCAGCTCTTGTTTCAGTATGAAGCTTGAAGTCCGATGGCTTGCTTTGCTCTTTCAGAGGAGTTTTATTGGAAGGCTACAGATGGGTAATGATCAATTTTGCAGTAAAAGAGAGAGAGAGAGAGAGAGAGAGAGAGAATGGATTACCTTCTCTTTATCAAAAGATCGATCATCATAAAGCTGTCCTTTGGGCTGTAGAAATATCAAAGCGCATGAGGCTTGCATCAATACGTAAAAACAACATCTACAGAAACAGAGTTCATATCTTACCTCACTGTGAAGTCTTGCAGATTGTTGAGGCCGAGTGCACCTCACCGTTGATCTGGCTGTCGAATACATTGTAGAACTAGGCTACAAGTACTTGAATATGAAAAAAAAAAAAAGTCACTTAATAGTTCTTGAATTTGAATAAATAACAAGACCCAAAAAATAAAAAACAAATTAAAATAAAAAACTAATAGAATGGTGAGATTAGAAGTAGAAAAAGTTCTTGGGTGCTCTATATCTGGCCCCCAATAAGTGCTTAGGTGATGTGGGCTTTGATTCATGGATTCTGTGGATGGGCAATTTATGGGCCTAACTCAAGACAGGATTAAAGGGTATACTAAAGCAAAATAATTCACAAGGCTGCTCGACCTAGACGTATATGCCAGTTTCCCACTAGGTTTGGACTGTCAGACATTGCAAGTCCTACAGCCTGAGCTCAACCAAAGGCTCAATGTATCATGAACTCTTAAAAGCTGGGGACTGGTTGGATGGGTTTCCTACCACCTTACCACCACCACCACCAGCAGCCACACAAGCATCCACTACTTCTGATTAATTTCTAAAAGAGTAGGAGCAGATCTAGAAAACAAGGATCTGAGGTCTTAACCTTGGGTGAAGATGAGTTACTAGGGTTTTCTATGATGAACTGATGACACAGTTCCACATTGAACAGGATATATATAAAAAGATGGGTCAGGGAGCTAGAGGTAGTCTTTAGACAGGTGAGAGATGAGCTTTCTTTCTGTTGCTACATCAGCAGCTTTCATGGTTTCTTCATTCTTTGGTTCATCAATCCATCTTCTAAACCAAACTTTCTGCTCAAACCTCCTTCTCAAATATTTCCATTATTCTTTAAAGTATGAAGTTGCTTCAAATCTGTTTGTGGGTTTAATCAGGCAAAACGGTTTCCTTCATCCAACACAGTAATGAATCAAACAGTCAAGCTAACAACCAACTATTGTCTTTTTGTTTTTCTAGTCAATAGTGAAATCCAAAAAGGGTCATCAGCCAAGGGTTGTTCACATCCCATTTTCAATTGGTTTCTTGTCTCATCCGTTATCTAACAAAGAATAAACCTTTTACGGGAATTGAAAGGTACCCAAATGGAATAGAACCCTGTTCCAAAAGTTAGGTTACCGATTGGAATGCTGACCTACTTGGCTACTTATTAGGTACTTGTAGTTGAAGTTAGGAATAGGTAAAGTAGCTTTGCCTCCAAATAGCAATCCTCTAATTCAAACCTTGGTTTAATTTCTATGATCTTTTTACCTACCACCAAGGTTCAAAATATTTATACATGCAATATTTAACCTTCAAAAAGTGGCCTAATGTCCCAACTCTATTGTAATATTTAGGCTTTGTTTCCTAAATGGTCAGTGATTTAGATGGGTAAATGCATTTATTTGGACAAATGTTTTCTTACAATGACCATTTTATCAATGAAAGTACTGTTATTATTAAAGGGATAATATTGTTTCCTCATGTATCAGCAAATTTATACGTGGATAGGAAATTTATTTAAATTTCAAGAGACTATTACTTATTACTTACCCAGGTAAATGAATCACTTGGGAATTGTTATTTTTCGTGAAACCCACTAATACCGATATACAAACGAAGGTTTCTTTCATTTTTGTAGAACCCACCAGCTTACCCAACCTATTTACTAGAAAACAGACGTGCCCTTAGTGCATGGTGGGTTAAAAAATTGATATATATCGATACTTTGAACCTTATCTAATACTGCTATTACTAAAAGTTTTGTTTTGATGATGATTGCAAAGGCATTTAAAAGGATTAAATTTCAGCTAAAGTGGGGACCTTTCCGGCCCCTAAGTTCAGCAATTTCAGCCATTATCAAACGGCACCTAGTATTGTTATATTCTATAATTGGTGTTTTTATTTGTAGTGTTTCTAGATTTGAATCTTGTTTATCCACATTATAGATTCCGAATGGTTTCCCCTACTTGATTTAAAAGAGAGGGCTGTCAATGGGTCGAATGGACCCAACAGAATCGTACCTAACCGACCCTATTATGGCCTATGATGAGGGTGCCCTCATTGATGTTTTAAATTGAAAATAATATATTATTATTATAAAAAAATTACTTAAATCATCATGTATTTTAAATTTTGCAAAAACCTCCTTTAACCTTTTAAATAAATATGCAAATTCCCCCTTGTAAATGAGATTTTGAAATCACTATGCCCTTGTAATATAATTATATATAAATTTACATGGTGAACACCGTTGCTCTATTTTCAAATTGTCTAAGTATGGCATTTCTAGTAATAGGGGAGGTTTAAATTCAACCCAACTTGGCTTTTGTTGTTCATTCAATAAAGTGAATAATGAAACCTAATAAAATAAAGTGAATCACTTTTTAGCGGTAATTTCATAAATCTTCCTTCCAATAAAGTTTTTTATGGGCAAAGATGAGATTTTAAAAGCTTTAATGCATCACATCAGTGACTTTTGTCAAAGAAATTAAAGCTGCATTTGGAAATGGTGCAAATAAGTGTAAATGCAAATATGTAGAGTGTAAAATGGTTCATATAATTTATAAAATTGGGTTAATTTTGCACTGACAAATTTATCTTCTTACCAAACAGACTTTTAATGTAATGGATGCAAATATGAATTTTAATAAAGCATATGCTTTTTTTATCAAAAGCCCACTTGAATGCAAATTTACTTTATTTTATAGATGTACTTTTACATCTTATTATCAATGTAAATATGCATTGGTCTGTCATCTGGCAATACATAAATGTAATGTTGCCAAACACAGGCAAAAATGAACCAGAATACAAGTTTACCCTGAAACGGGATTTACACTCCATTTGCATTGTTTCCGAATGTAGCCTAATGAAAAATTTTTGTAGATGCATCAAAATAGAGGTTCAAGTATTCGTAAGAAAACACAGGAGAGGTTTTAAGTAATTCTCCCTATTATTAATTTAATATTATACAGTATAGATACTAGAGTCAAGAACTCATAAATATAAATAAATAAACAAAAAACCAACTTATTAATTTAAATTTGATTGCTCTTTGACATGAAAAAGTATTGAAATTAGGTGAAGTTCCAACCCTAAAGCTTTGGAGCTCATTAGAGATGATTTAAGCTTTGGTTGAACTGCTTTGGAGAAGCCACTAAAAATGGTTTCAACATAAAACTTTTTTTTGGTTGAAAGACAGCAAATCTGGATTTTCAAAATTTTCACAAAAGTATTGCTAATATCCTGCCAGTTGGAGCCAGTTGGAGCCAACATCAAAATGCCATAATACCCAACGTGAAAGTCCTGCAAACAACGAAAAAAGGGTCTTTCAACTGATATGGCTTCTCCAAAACAGCTCGACCAAAGCTTCAGCTCTCCCAACTGAACCATACTTGGTGTTAAGGAGGGTTGACCTCTCGAGCTGCTTTCTCAAAGCCCAACTAGGGGGAACCCTAGTAGGAGTAGAGCTTGGGCGGATTTGGGTTGTGCTTTTGTCAAAATTTAAATGAATTTAAGTCCAATGTAGTGTAAAATGTTAACTTGGATCAACCCGAATTGCACCCTATGCCCAACCGATTGGCGGTTCTAACAAAGCTCAATGCCTAATAAAGTTTTAAACATATTCTTTCTAAAACAAAACATAATAAATCAAAAGCATCTTAAAGGACTAAGGGCTCATTTGGGAGAGCTGAGCTGACGATTCAATTAAGCTGGTTCAGCTGCTTTGAAGCACTCTAGATATATAAGCTTTTCAAAGAGACTGAAGTGGACAGCTCTTTAAATGATTGACTGGCAACCAATTAAAATTAGGGTTCTCTGGAATTTTCACCAAACACAACTTAAAGGCTGTCCATGTGGAGACCAGATTTGCTCCTCACACAGGGTGCCTCACACGTGCATCCTACCATGCATTGGGAACATCTCCCATACTTATAAGTTATTATTCACGGGAGATGCTCCCAGAGCACAGTGGATGTGCATGTGAGGCGCCCATGTGTGAGGAGCAGATCCCATCTCGTCCATGTGAGGCCCACTTTGGAAAGTTACAACCGCGATATATGCTTCAGCCCTCACAAACAAGCACTAAATTACTATAAATTTTCATGATTAATTAAAAGGATTTAGAGCACATACGGTAACATATAATTAAGTGTTTATTCGTTCCTTGTACTCCAGTTGGCCCTAAATCTTCAGTGTCACTAAGGCATATTTTGAAAGGAGTACAAATGCAAATATGAAGAGTGCAAAATCTTATATTTTGTATGTATTTGCATTGTAAATTTGTACTCTTTTCAAACTGAGCCTAAGACTGCATTTGGAAACAATGCAAATGGAGTGTAAATCCCGGTTCATGGTAAATTTGCATTCTGATTCACTTTTGCGTGTATTTGGCAACAATATATTTATGCATTGACAAATGACAGAAAACACAATTTTCAATACATATTTACATTGATAATAAGATGTAAATTTACATCAATAAAAAAGAAATAAATTTGCATTCAAGTGGACTTTTGATAAAAAAATGACATGCTTTATTAGAATTCGTGTTTGCATCCATTACAGCTAAAAATCTGTTTGGTAAGAAGATAAATTTGTCAGTGCAAAATTAACCCAAACGCAACCTTAATTAGTTTAATTATCACTCTTTCCTAGCATAAAAATTAAAATACAATGCTTGATATTTTGAGCATGGACCAACTTAGGCTTAATTAAGCAGTGTTTTAACTTTCAAATCCACAGTGGTAAGGTCAGTCTGGGGATTGATAAATGATGGGTTTCTTTCCTTGACCACATCATCAGCTTGCTTTGGGTTCTTGTTCTGTTTCATTAATCCACCTTGTAAAGCAAACTTTCTGTTCAAACTTCCTTCTCAAATATTCCTTTTCCACCTTTTATGGTGTTACTTGGGAGTCCGTTTTTGGGTTTAATCAGGCAAAAAAGTCTCAACCTTCACAGTAACGAAGCAAACAGTCGAGTCAACTATCCACAGTTGTCCTTTTCCAGTCTGTTCTGAAGTCCATAAGGGTCTGGTAATAACCAAACGTGTGTTGATAGCCCATTCTCAGGTCATTTGTTTTGTCATCTTATGATCTATCAAAGACTTTGGGGTTGTTTGTAATGACTGAAGTGCTGAACTGAATAACTTTTTACTTTGTCTTTTAGAGGATATAACAAAGATTTTAGGGTTGTTTGTAATGCCTGAAGTGGCTGAACTGAATGACTTATTATTTTGTCTTTTCAAGAATATAACAAAGACTTTGGGGTTGTTTGTAATGCCTGAAGTGGCTGAACTAAATGACTTATTATTTTGTCTTTTAGAGAATAAAATAATTAAATAATAAAATCTTTAAGTGTAGAGTAAATTAGTAATCAACCCAACTTCAACATCAGCATTGAGGAAGATGACAACCTGCTTAAAAACTTATTCACTAAAGCCATTTCAGCTGTTGTCTAACGTTTCCTTCACCATTTATAGTGAATTAAAATGTGCCCCTATAGAATATATATAGCTATAGAGGTCTCAAAGATAGGTTTGTTGTTGGAATATTGGTCTACTTAATGATGCTTTTAGTTGAAGTTGGCACAATTTGAAGTTAAGACTTAGGACCCTTGAAATATGGTATGTGTAAGAG